TCCACTGATGCCCGCCATTTTATATGGTACTTCTTACTCGTTTGTTACTGGTACTTGATACATCTGAGTTGTTGAGGTAGAATACAAGACTGAGAAATTCATACTTTAAAATAAATGTTTGAACCTCTAGTAAGTGTTGATGTCGACCCCTCGTCATTACTTCTCTGGGGTTAGGCTAGATACTTACTGGGTACGCGTTGATTTACGTACTCATACTACACTTTCGCAGTGCAGGATCTGACAGGTTCAACCGGTGGTCATTTTGGCGCGTAGGCATAGCTGCTGAAGAGACTTTATGGTGAGCTGCATTCCATGCTACGTACCGCAGCCCATAGAGTCTCCATCATACCATTTACTTTATCCTATCTTATTTACATTCCGGACAGAGATTGTGTTATTATTGTACTCCTTAGTAAATCCTTATGCACTTGTGACACCGGGTTTTGGGGGTGTTCTAGAATTTGTTATGGATTGTTTTACACTGATTCACTTTCACTTATTATTTTAACGAAATTGTACGTAACTACGATTTATTTTAATGCAATAACCTTGCTATCTAAGAAAGATTCATAATTTTAAAAATGATAAAATGAATAATTAAGTATTGGCTTGCCTAACGACGATGTTGGGCGCCATCATGGCCTATAGTGGATTTTGGGTCGTGAAACTTTTGTACAGTTTATTTTTATTCCGGAACAGTTGTACTTGAAAATTTTCTAGTGAACTCAGTAGAGCTTATGACTTGTACTGCCGATTTTGGGAAGTGTGTTGTTGAGATTCTATTTCAGAAAATTATATCAGTTTATCAGACTTGCTTTAATATTTTTGTTAGTTATTTCTATCAAGTTATTATTAAATGTTAGGCTTGCCTAGTCGTAGAGATTAGGTATCATCACGACATCCTACGGAGGAAAATTGGAGTTATGACAGTATTGTGACTTGGGGAGGCAGACCAGCCGTGAAGGGTGGCTAGCCGCCGGCCAGATTGGCCATGGGAGGAGCTCGAAGCGAAATCGCCTAGGAATCGCCTATTTCACTAGATAGAAAATAGAATGAAAGTATTTTTTTGGAAAGGTTAGTAATGTTCACGCACGCATCAATTTTTACTTGTCGTGTCAAAATTTATTTAATTATTATTTATTTATTTTATTTCTTTCTTTCTTTTTCTTTTTCATATCTTTTCTCCTTCTCTTTCTTCTAGCCTCTCCCTTCTAGTCCTCATCAACCAACCTCCATCACCTCATCGGAAAGCTCTTTCCGCCGAAAATGGAGCCCAGCGAACATGGAGATGAAAAACACTCCTTTTTAACCAAGGCTTTCCAACAAATGAAGAAGCCACCGAAGCTCGATACCAAAATCGTTAAAATTCTATCATCTTTCTCAAACCAAATTTAAGTAGGCGAAAAGTAGCATTTCTAGTAAGTTGAAATTCGAACGTAGCTTTGATATTTTCGGCAAAAAATATCTCTCTTTTTTTTTTTCTTTTCCATCTTTTTTCTGAGTTGATCTCCTGTATGCTATAAGAGCTTTCTTTGGTTTAAAATTTAAATAGAATTTCTTATTATTGTTTATCTTCTCTAAATTTTAATTTATGAGATTGAAATAGCTTCGTTATTAAAATTTATAAATTAACCATGATGAAAGACAAGGGGAGGAAAGAGGGAAGGTGGGAGGGGGGCATGAAGAAGGGAGAAGATGGAAAGGACATAATTTTGGGTTTACACGAAAGAGATGAGAAAAATGATAAAGACAAATGACAAAATAAGAAAATAATTTGAAAAAAGAAAATAGATAATAAATTTAACTAATAACATATTACAAAATAAAACTTTAATAACATTTTTTTTTGCATGTTACGCTCTTCAAGAGAGTGATAATCACTCTCATTGCCAGTAGGCTCAAAAGGTGGTATTTATTATACTTCGAACAAAGCTAAAAGGCCATAGTACCCTCGTAAAGTTTGAGGGTACAACTAGTAAAGTGGGACAACCCCATGGGATAACTATGCATTATCCTTATTATTAATATAAACCACACTGATTATTCAAGAAATAAAAAAGATAACTCAAGCTTGGGGTGTACGCAAAAAATCTAAAACTTAGATCCAAATCGAAATCAAATCAAATTTAAAAAATTCATATTTTCTTGGTCTGATATAGTTTTAGTTTTTAATTTTAAATATTAGTAAAATTTGATTTATTTACAATATTATATTATTTTTTTGCACTCTTGGTTTATAATTTGATTCCTTGTCTTTACACTAATCTAGTTAATTGCTTTACATCTAATTTAATTTGTACTCTTTATTTTGACAAGTCCAAAAATTTATTTTATATCAAAAATATTTTGTCTTTAAGTCCTTAAATTATTCATCATTGTTTAGTTCAATTCATCAAGATATTTTGGTAAATTACAACTCTTCAAGTTTTTTCACAAAAAAAATTATTGTAAATTTTGTTTTTATTAACTTCCTTAAAAATAGTTATATTTATAGATAACGCACACCATTTTCTGACTAAAGCTACGTATATAACTTGATGCATATATTGTTTATTCTTTAAAAGAATAATTGACTAGGTAGTATTATGCTGAATATGTGTGTAGTCTATGTATACTAGGGGAAAAAAACTAAAAAAAGAAACGAATAACTCAATGAAACCGGACAAAATCGAATCGATTCGAGTTAATTAGTTTGATTCCAATATTTAAAAAATTAACTAAATATATTTATTTTCTTTTTAGGGAAAATTTGGTTAAGACTAATCGTGAATATCCTCACTCTAGTTGATTAAAAAACGATGAGAAATAATAAAAATGGTCCATTATGTTTGGAGATAAATATAAAATAGTTCCTTAAATTATATTCTTGAGAAGTTTTAGTCCTTTAATTTTTTCAAAGCAAGCACTTTTGGCCACTATTAAATATTTAACAAACTTTGGCAGGTAAATCTAATAGGAATTGTGAAAAAGGAAAAATCTAATTAGAAATGGCAAGAAAGTCCCGTCAAATTCAAGAAAGTGCAACATCAAAAACTGGATCACATACCAAAAATAGACCAAAAAAAAAAAAAAAAAAAGAAGAAGCAGGAATTACACCAAAAAAACATGTAGCAAACACAAAAAATAGATTAAAGTTATCAAAATGCACCTCTAAATGGTAGTACTTGTTAAATAATTTTTCTTCACAATTTTAATTAAATCGAATAGCTAGTCCTTTACAAATATTATTTTAGTTATATGACTATTTCCATAGGTGATTCATAAAAAAGAATACATGATATAAAATATACTCTGCATAAAAAGTTTTTTAATAAATTATTTTTTACTATTCAAATTATAAAGGTATCATATCCTTTTTAAACTTCACACATATTTTCAATTTAACCTATTATGTTTAATTTTTGGCCAAATATATACATAAGCCCTTAAACTTGGCACCAATTTCTACCTAAACACTCTAACTAAGGTTTGTTCTATTTAGACACTATAACCTTATTTAATCTATACCAATCAGACCCCTCATGACTAACCACTACAAAAACTATCACACGTGAACTTCACACGCCTGACATGTCAAAAAGAACGACTAAAAAGTGCCATGTAGCTTTTAACTTTGGCTAATCCCAAATATAAAGTTTTTCAGCAAGCCTAACTTTTAACTTTTTTCTTCCATACAACTCACCCTACCTCAAATAGTAATTTAGATAGCGTTTGCCAATCCCCATTCTATAACGCCTCCCTCCTCCTCCCTTACACTGTTGTTATCTCCCCATCGTAGCCCCTACTCACAATTTTCAGATATCCATAAAGAAGAAGAAAGGTTTAAAATTTGTAAAGGCCAATTTTATTTGTGAGTTAAATTTTGTTTGAATTTATCCGAAATTGATGTGTTTTTTGTTCTTCCCAAATAAAAGAAAAAAGAGGTGGAAGTTTTCAGCTATACTTCTATTTTCCTTGTTTTTTGTTGATAATGATTTTTTAATATATATATATATATATATATATATATATGTATGATATATGTCGCCATCGACCACTACTTTTGGCACCCAACTCCACTGCAATCACAACCGAACAGCCACCCTACTACATTCAAATCGTTCATGATTGGATTTGACAAGTCTTTAGTGAGTTTAGCTGCGCCTCTTTAATCAAAGACATGAAGGAATGAAATAGCTTAAGGTGTTATTCTGGTGCTGTCTTTATGGAGATGATAGTAGATGGTAATTTTTTTGGGTTGTGAAATTTTCGGCTGATGATGCGTGAAGCGGGTGGAGTAAAAAATATGATTCTTTTAGCATTTCACGCGCCCAAGAGAAGTGTAAATCACACAATATGCCATATCATCGCTATGTGTTTAATAGACACATAGGTGTTGAAGTTGAAGTATCTAAATGGAATAAATCTTAGCTAGAAAGTTTAGGTGTAAATTGGTGTCAAGTTTAAGGGGTTGTATGTGCATTTGGCCTTAATTTTTCATTCATTCGATGAACCATAACAAGAAATGTTTTTATACCTAACTTGTCTAGTCTCCAACAAGATTAGTTAAAAATGAAGCGAATGAAGAAGACATTTTAGCCGTCCAAATATATTTCAAACAATGAAACGAGGGTCTAGGTCGATGTCTGCACTTTGACTACTGTACCCGACATTCCCACCCCAAACCCATCTCGAATTGACGGATCAACAAAATCCATTAATCAAATTTCGCCTTTGCCAGATTGTAAAACACGGCCACAATGCCGATAGCAGAGCCGATGAACGGCGACGGCAGCACAAGAATCGGAGTCAACGACATTGAAGACGCCATCGGTGTAGTGGAAATGGTGGGACCGTCTTCGATCACAGCCGTTGATTCTTCCTCTACAGCTGAATCTTCAATTTCCATTTGTGATGATGATCAAATTTCTCCTCTGTTGACCCAATCAGAGAGGCCTAAGATCAACATCTTCACCATCTCTTATCCTACTAGGCAAAAGCTCAATAAGGTGAACTCCAATTTTGAAATATTAAATCTGTTTTTTATTTTTTCCTAAATTTGTAAATTTGCTGAGCTCTTTTACTGAATTTTCAGTAGCCAGTTCCTTAGTTACAGGATTAGTCAAAATGCACTTTTATATATCTAATTTTTATACCACGAATAATTTCAGTCATTAATTATTGAGTTTTAGTTCCTCTTCACTAATGATGTAAACGATATTTACACAATTAAGTTATAAATAAGGTAATTACTGGTCAATTTATGACAAGCATATAGGTAACCTCGTAAAAATTGTAACTGACCTACTATACAGGTTAAAAAGCGCTAATAGTGTAGAAAAATCTTTACATTATCAGTGTATATAAATTAAATCCTTAATTATTAGAGTATGAGGGTAAAATATTTGAAAAGATTGTAGTAAAAAATTTGTTTTGCCTACCGAACAGTAATAGTGTCATATCAAATTGGACAAAAGGGAGTATGGTATGTTTGTTTGTTTCCCTTTTGAGTGCAGTCACTAGCGTTAAATTTGCAGGAAAGAAAAAGAGGAGGAAAGAGATCAGTAGAATGTTGAAGTTTTCTGCTAAAAAGTAGCGCTTTTTGTTTATTTAAGATACATAGCATGCTGAATGTATTGAACATCCTCAATTTTGGAAACAGTTGAGACGCATTCACAACATACATCAGGTATGAGAAAGGTTTTGATACAGTTAAGTCCGGGGAATGTAACGTGATTTCTACTATGGCATGTTTTTCTTTTTAGCAGTATTATTATATAGCTACAAAGTGTTTTTCCATTTTAGTGAACGTCCCTCTATCATCAGAAGTTTATGCTGACTTATTCTACCTTAGGTTCTAGGATGACCTTTCTTTACGCAACTTCTAGTCATGGTGCTAATATATATGCATTTATTGTACACTGTACTGTGACTTCTTCAAGGAGGGAGCGATCAGAGTTTGTTTTTGCACTCAGTCATGACTCAGGTGGTTGTTTTCTTTATCACGAACCCAATACTTTATTCAAGCCCAAATATGCCTATGCGTACTTACATATTATATTTCCCTACTCTGGTGCTTTTTTTGTGCGGATAAATGTTCTGCTTTCGTGATTTATTCTAACTGTTTATGGTATTGCGACATGTATCAAAGAAAATTCTAGTACTTTTTCATGCTTAATTAGGTTCTGACGCCTTGCAGGAGGAAGTTATCAAAGTAGTTGAACCAGACAAATCGCCGTTTCTGCAGTTTATTGTCTGGCTGTGGAGTGGATCGAGGTACTCCGGTCTGCTATGCATGGTCTTGTCATCTATAATCTACTCCACAATGGGAGTTGTTTCAGATGTTTTTACTGGTCAGTAACTTATTTAAAACATTTGCATGTGTATTATATACTTATATATAAATGTAGCTACTGATAACTTAGCAATACAAAGATGTCATCGTCCTGTTTCCTACCTGAAACTGATAGTCGGCGAAGTTCAGCTTAGTTTCGACGAAATTCAGCGTAAGCTTTAATTCGTGGGCAACTGATCTTCATACAATAACCTACCATTCTATTCACACGAATTGAAGATGATAGTTAAATTTTACCCGGGGAGAGAGAGAGAGTGTGTGTCTTTGTGGCTCTTTTTTTCTTCTTTTCTTAACTTGGATGTCCTTTGGAGTAAAACCAGGGAAGGAGGGGCTGGTGCCAGATTCCCTCTTGGCTGTTGTATTGTTCATATATCTTGAGAGACAGGATAGTGCATGTTATATCCAAGCACTTTTTGCAGTGCCCTCTGCACTGGGTTGTCAGGAGATTATTTGAGGGTTGATATGAGCACTTTGTTTTTCCTTTGATGTTTTGAGATTACAATTTTCGACAAGAGTGGGTTGCTCTAGTAGTGAGCACCCTCCACTACCAACCAAGAGGTTGTGAGTTCGAGTCACCCCAAGAGCAAGGTGGGGAGTTCTTGGAGGGAGGGAGTCGAGGATCTATCGGAAACAGCCTCTCTACCCTAGGGTAGGGGTAAGGTCTGCGTACAAACTACCCTCCCCAGACCCCACTAGTGGGATTATACTGGGTTGTTGTTGTTGTTGTTGTTTTGAGATTACAATTTTCATGGATATGGTCCGCGAAGGGTAGGCTCCTTTAGGACTCTGCAGCAATTTTTCAGTATGTTGTTTAAGCCATATCCTATGGATTTAGAGTATGAGAACAGGATTCTAGTATGAAGCTGACTCATATAGGTATTTAGTGTATTTCAAAGGATCTTATGAAGTACCTAAACCCTTGTTATTGCTGATAGTTATGAGTATGTCACTATGTCTAGGACAAATGAGGAGTCACAGGAACACGGGTTTGAGCAGAATGCAATAATTCTTGCGAGAAGAGCCCTACACTTACGTGCAAGAAAGGGTAGTGTTTGTAGGTTCACTTTGGAGCAATAGAACTTTTAGTTCATTGTCCACTTCAGATTCCAGAACCTGGAGGTCTTTTGGCATTGCTTATCCTTTCTTCTAGTATAATAGTGTTTAACAGCAGTGCATGGTTTTGACTTTTGCTGTATGCTTTTGGTTCTGCCTTTGAATAGGCAATTGCCAAGCAACTTTAGATTTCTATATGAAGTTCCTTGAGTAAGGTTTTGATGTTAATACTGTTATATGTCAACATATTATGTATGTGGATACATACATTAAGATGTATCCAGTGTTTCATGACTGCTTCTAGCCGTATACTCCTGTTACACTATTATGATTTTTCATCGTTTTTGGAAATGGCAGCTCAATCAGTACCTCTTTTCGAGATAGCCTTTGCAAGATGTACGGTAGTCCTAGTTCTTTCCTTTGTGTGGCTGAGGAAAAGTGGTCAACCAATATTTGGACCAACAAGTGCCAGGAAACTTTTGGTCTTAAGAGCTCTCACTGGATACATCTCATTGATGAGTTTCATCTACAGGTAAGCAGTGTTTCTTAGACTGAGAAACCCCTAGACCTCTCAATCCACGCTCCAACAAGGAATAGAAAGCAGAAAATGTCGAGGGTAGGAAGTCGTTCCGGATGGACCATGTCAATCTAATTAATAAGTATAGAAAAATATGTACTGTGGATGCAAGAAGACAATCTTTCAACATTTAGGAGATTTGAAATGAATTTTTCCTGGTTGTTCCGCTTATAATTTCTTTCTTATCTGGGTTCAGACTATTTGCGGGTTTGAATAACATGGCTCCATCTTGCAGACCTGAAAAAGTAGTTACTGTTTTGCAAGATAACTAGACAAGACGCAATACATATCCAACCTGTCATGCGTAGCTGTTAAAGTAACTAACTTAGGGAGTTTTAATTGAATAATACAAAAATTAATCACAATGTTGAAAATTAAATGACCATCAATACCAATTGAGAATAATAAATAAAAATAAAAAGGTGATTTGTTTTATACACATGATTTAGTAGTAATATACATAAGAAGTGTAGGGCATAACTGGCAAAGTTTGATGGGATTTAACAAGTTGGAAGGAAGAAAATATATAGCACGTAAATGGATCCCCACGGTTCGAAGTTTCCATTTACATTAACATGGGATGCCACTGCTCTTGGTCAATTTACCATGATTATTTCCTTTCTCTGTTCATGCTACATCCCCTTTATTGTTCTGTAAAACATGATTTACTAGTAACCATGAAACAGTCAATTTTGTTTTTCAGCATCCAGCGGCTACCTGTGTCTCAGGCTATCATATTGAGCTTTACCGCTCCAATTATGGCTTCAACTGTAGCTAGAGTCACATTGCATGAGAAGTTAAAAATTGCAGAAATTGGAGGTATGGTTATATGCACAATCTATAGAACTCCAGGTTGATTTTTCTGTTATTTAAATTTGTATGGTGTGTACATGGTTTGCTATTTCAACTTGACTGAGGTGTTTTAAGCAGATAAAAAGACCATCTTATTCACGTTAGGGTTTTAGGGGCTCACAGATAGTTGAAAATCTGAAAATCTTCTGGCCCCCTGTGAAACTGAAAGAATTGTGAACTTACACACATCATTGTAAATTAGTTGCACTTCCGGTCCTTTTCCTTTTTCAAATAGACTGCCCCTTGGCAGGGAGTTGAGATGCTTGAAATTCTAAATGTCCTGTGAACCCTTAAAACTGAAAGATTAATGGATATAATACATTATTCTTTTGTTCACTATACAACATTGCAAGTTCATTACAATGTCTGGTCCTTTTATGTTCCTTCTCTTTGACAGCCTCCTTATAAATTGGGGTTCTGGGAGTGGGAACGTATAGTCGTATATGCTTGAAAATTTGATGTTTTTCTTAGCCTTATACAACAACAACATACTCAGTGTAATCCCACATAGTGGGGTCTGGGTGGGAGGGTAGTGTGTACGCGGATCTTACCCCTATCTCGTGGAGATAGAGAGGTTGTAACCAATAGACCCTCGGCTCAGTAAAGCATAAGCAAAATAGTAATGGAAAGAAACACGGCCAGAAACAACAGTGAGAGGCCATGGAAAAGAAGCATTAATAACAACAAGATAGTAAGATGACCGAAATGAAAGAAACAACATGCAATAATCGAAACCTAAGACTAAAAATAATACAAGAGTACTTACTAATACTACTAGTATGAACAAGGAAACCACTCGGCTACCTAACCTTCTACTTTATAAAACTTAAAAATATATGGGCAGAATATATTGATCTTAGATTCAGTGATTCCCTTTCTTATGTGCTGCCAGCTTAAGGAATCAGGATCATCTAAGAGTTCCTTCAACACTTCCAGTTTGTCTATCAGTTGGGCCATGCTTTCAATTTCTCAATCTTGACAATTTCTCCCATCTATTGCTGCTCTACGTTAAGTAGTAGATGTTTCAGTGTTGTTGGCAAAACTGTACAAGCCAGGGAACTGTTTTGCAAGAGGATATCTGTCTAATGGAGATGTGCTATTGTGAATTATGATTTATATGCTTTTTAGAGGACTCTTTTTAGATAATCGAGAAATTAGCTGTTTCTAGCTTTGATAAATACCCTCTCTCTTTTTTTAAATAATTTTTTCCTTTTGCTTTTAGAGGACATTTCTTATATTTTCTATCTCTTATTCTTTTGTGGGTAGTCTTTATCACTATTGCCTTATTGCAGGTTTAGCGAGCAGTTTCTTCGGTTTGCTGTTCATATTTCAGCCAATGGTCAAACCACAAGGTACAGAAGATAGTAAATATCTGTAACTGTTTTTGAACTAACAAACTTGTTTCGAGTTAGGAGTTATAACTGAGTGATTTTCTGTAGATTAAACCAAAAGACAGCAACCTTTTGATACATATCCAGTTGTAATTTTGTATTCGGATGATTAAATTGTAAATCCTCAAGTGGAACTAAATGCAGCCGGCCCTGCCCTTGTTTCTATAGGAGATCTCAGTGAACTAGGGCCTGGCAGGGGCTAGTCCCTTAGTTGAACTTCAGTCATGAACCCAAGGCCAATTAAAGCTGTAGTAGGTGTTTCTAGTTTTGATATTAGACCTCCTCAAAAAGAGAGCTCTTGCGGGTGTGGGAGAACTAACTTGGGAAAGAGTGTTTTGCTTTCAAATTTTAACTGTTAGACCTGTAGGCAGGTAACTTATCCCTTCAGAAAGAGTATCCCAAAAGAAATCCTTATCCTTCCCATCACTGGAATCCGACTTCTGTTAAGAGTACCGCTGTTGGACTTGTGATATCCCCAAATTTTCTTCTGCCTGCAGTGGTTCATGCCTTGCTCATTCTTCTGTTCTCTGTGATATCTTAGAAGAGTGTTTTTTTTTTGCCCTACCAGGATGTGATTTCCTACCCACTGTAGTTTAGTAACTTATACCTACTCATTCTAAAGGCCCTCTGTTCATTAATTGTATGATTTTCATATGCATTCTGTTGGAGAAAAGTCACTTGATTTTATAGTCTTTTACATTTTAAAATTATTTTTTAAATGATTCAACCAGTTTGCCTGATGATTGAACTAGTAGATAACTGACATACTGCCCTCTGTCAAATTGAGTGTGTGGCCTGGATTTATACTATGCTTATAGGAAAAAATGAACTGCTTGCACTAGGATGACAGATGAATTGCACCTTGTATATTTGGAAAGACTGATCTGCTCAATAGGGAAAAACTTAGAATCTCATTTGGTTTCTTATTTGAATTCTCAAAGTATTGGAATTTTTCTCACAGGAACTTTCCCAAGTTCTATAGAAGCCAGTGAATCTCATTCCAATGGTAAGCATCACATTTTTGCTGTTTTGGTTGGCTTGTTTTCATCTACTGCGACTGGAGTCACCTACTGCCTTACGAGAGCAGGAGCCAAGGCAGCAGATCAACCAGTGTAAGACTTTTGGCTTGCGTCTCTAATCTTAAGAGTGGTTGTTGTATCATCATTATAAATATGCTTTGACTTTACATTCTTTCTCTTTCTCTCTCTTCCCTTATGAGAAGGAAAAAGTATAGTAATTCAACTGTAGCGTATGGAGGAACATGGCCTTCTAATCTGTTGTAGGTCAGTCTAGGGAATAATTTCCTTTGCAGATTTAAACCACACGGAGGTCATGAATACCGATCAATTCCATACATGACATAAAAAGATTATTATATAAGACTGGTTTTGCCAAGAACCACAACCAGGAAGAAGATTTTCCAATTTGTGCTTTGACCACACCCCACCTTTGGTTAAACTCACAATAAATCAAGATTCCTCAAAATGTTCTAAAGAACTGCAGCAACGTGTAGAAAATAGAGTTTTTCCTTTCTGGCTTTGATCACTCCAATTGCTCGGGACAAGGTGGGAGTGGCCTCCGTGGTGGACAAGCGGAGGGAGTCTGAGATGGTTTGGACATGTAAAGAGGAGATGCATAGATGCCCAAGTGAGCGTTGTCTTGCTTTTCTAGTAGCTTGGAGCATTGTATCTGCTTCTTATTCCATCCCAGTTTTATTTATTATTATTCTCGTTTTTCTTATTATCCCTGCATTTTCATATTCTCTGATACACTCAAACCTTCATGATTAGCTATTGCATAGAAGTTTATCACCTTTCTATCTCCACTGATGATGCCAAGGGCTCACCAAGTGTTGAGGTAGTTTGGCAAGATTTTTCAAAGGTTTTTTTAACACTGTGATCATGTGTCCTCTGCAAAAGAACAATTTAGATGTTAAAAGTGTATAAGATTCTTTGGTCTTCTTACCCATGATAACTAGTCAAAGACTGAAGGATCTGTAAGTAGTTGTCTATAATATCTAGTTGTACTTTATTGTTTATTCAGCTGACTGTTATCTCTCATAAGATGATTCTAAAGCAAGTAATCTTTATCTTTCAGGCTTCCAGTTTTCTCATTTGTCCTGCTTGCTAGTCCTGCTGCTGCGATGTCCACATTTTCCTTTGAAGTAAGATATCGTACATGTCGTTAGTTCTTTGTGAAATAAAAAGGCAAATGCATATAATCATGGTAGATCAGAACTGTTGCAAGTTTCATATGATGTTTGCTGAGATAAATATTCATTAAGTATCCCCAGAAGTTTACTGTGACATGTATATTGATGCTATTGTGAAAAATATTTCGGATATAATTGTGTACTGGCAACTTCCTGTTCATGGTGAATAGAGTGAACCACTTTATGGACGGCCATCTTTAAATGTTTGTAGAGTGAAAGTTTGATTGCCAGCAATCTTTTTGGTAAAGAGGTTATTTTATTATTTAATGCCACTACCATTATGTTGAAGAGGGTGAGTTTGCAATTTTGCTTGTACTAAAAAATGTGCGGAGTGACCTACAAGTAGTTGTATTGTATTCCAAGTTCTGTTTTGATAGCCGACTGTATCTCTCTGTATTCGTGAGTATTGATTGGGGTGTGGGTGTTCTAATCTTGTCCACCTTTTAATAGCGAATAGATAATTATCCTTCTTGACTTTTGGTTTCTTTTTCCTAATTGTCTTATTTTGTTGAATACAGAGCTTTGTACTCCCTAGTTTCTTTTCTTTCCTTCTAATGGCTGTACTTGGTGTACTAGCTTTCTTTGCAGAGGTACTATTCTTAACTCTAATTTTGTCATGTGATCCAATATCCAAAACTCTGATTCTTTAGACCCGTCCTCCAATTTGTGCTAATAGAATATTACTCTCCATAGATAACTTTAGCACGTGGACTTCAGCTTGAGAAAACCAGCAGAGTTGCCAATATCCAGTTTATTGAGGTATGGATCTGATCATGTTGTTTGTTGAGTTCCCTCTTGTATAGTGTAGCTTTATATACCACGGATTGCCTTATCTGCACAATTTTATTTTTTTCAAAGAAGTTATTTGCAAAAATTGTATGTGAAGATTCGTTTGTTGTGCTACCCTGTTTGCTTGAGTTTGTCAGAACAACATTGATAAATAATGATATTTCGGAATGGTGAAGTTTTCTTTATGTTAGTGCTAGTATTAAGTAATTAAAAGTCTCTTCTCTAAAAGTTCGAGTTTTTAAGTGAGGTGGTCACATAATTGAGCCTATTGTTGGTCACTCTGCTATTGAAAATTATGTAGTAAAGTCTTGTTTCTTTTTCTTTTTCTTTTTCTTTTTTGGAACAGAAAAGTCACTTTTCTATAACCATGTCACACCAAAAATCACTTGGCAGGATTTGTCCAAGTTTCGGCTGCCAAAAGCTTATGTGACATTTTATATCAGTCCGCATGGACTTAACTAATACCAAAACTAAAATTAAACCCGACCCACAGCAACCTCAAAAGTGAAATTTTGGACTGGAGTGAAACCATGCCCTTAATCGACTTTGCCTGAGATAAGGAGGAAGACACCGTTTTTATATAATGAGGGGGATAGGGTTTTTGTATATTGAAATCGGGTTGTCGGTGGTCGGGTTTTATTTTAAAATTTGGCATTAGTAAAGTCCATGTGGACTGATACAAAATGCCACATTAGATTTTCCAGCTGGAACTTGGACAAATGATTTTTGGTTGATATGTGTATAGAAAAGTGACTTTTCTGTTTTTATTTTTATTTTTATAAAGAGATGACTTTATGACATAATTTCTTATAGTTGAGTGACCATTTGAGCAATGAACTCTCACATAATTCAATATGGTGTGAAAGAAGGCAACAGTTTGAATCTCAACACACCCATTATCTAAGAATTTCCATATGCTTGACTCACAAAAAATCTGGCTCACACTTTGAGGGCCATGTTAGAGATACAGTTAAGTCAATAAACATGTCAAGCTTTTAGATGATGTGGTCACATAATTCAACACTATTCGATTTGAATGGTTTATTCTTGGATTGGGTGTGTATGGAACTCTTTGCAATTCAACTATGCAAGGTGCTACCTCGCGAGACTTGTGTACCGAACTTGCTTCACTGCAATTGCAAACTCATATTCCTCTGCTAGAGACCAGTCGTGAATTTGAAAGTTCCCGTGTGATTTATGTTTACTCCTTCTGTAGAAAATTAGTTTATTAATACTAGATATCTGAGTTGGTGTGTCAATGTCAAGCTTTGCTTTCTGTCAAATTTATGTTGAACTGGATGTATTTCAGGCTGCGCTATCACAATTTCTTGGAATGGGCTCATCAAGAATCATTCCATCTTTTGGCAGATTATTTGGATGTATAATAATCTTAATTTCAGCATGTTGTACCATGTATATTGGACCCGAGAAAGAGATTGAATGACAAAGTTGGCCATTCCTTTTCATTTGCGCGCGCTGTATGGTCTAATGTGCACAAATTCTTTCTTGTGCTCTACCAACCACTCTGTCCAATGCTTCAAGGGGTACAATGAATCCCAGTTTCTGCAGAGACTTATGTCACCATGAACTTGGTGTAGCGAAATTTTGCCAGTCCCTATACTGGAAGTGTAATGATTCTGTCGTCTTCTCGCACTTGTAATAGCTTAATACGTTTCAAAAAATGGAGCGTCAAGGGGCTATTGCTTTTCTGTTCCAAGAGTGACATAAGTCTTACATAAAATACAGGTCGCCAAAATAGAGGACCTTCCACTTTCAACCAAGTACGCAGGAAACCACCATTGGCCTCTTTGATTTGGTTTTTTTGGGGGG